TTCATTTCAATAATCCTCAATAGCAAAAGACTTTATGGGGGAAGATAAGTGTATTCTTTAGGTCTAAGCTTGACAACAATCTCTCCAGATAACGGCCAAACATAGGCACCTAAGATTTAGTAACTAGATGTTATCGTGTCTTTTTTGGTTAGATCGTGCGTTTGGAGGGATAGGGGATAATATCACAGGTTTGTCTACTTTCAAGAGACGCTACTAATAACATATAAAGACCAGTCATAGTAAGGGTGTCCTCGCTTTCAAGAACAACCTCTCCAACTGCAATAAATGAGAAGGAGAAAAAAACAACATTGTCCTTAACATGTTTATCTTCATAGTCTTGATCATCATCATCATCATCATCAACGACAACAACGACAGCAACAACAATTAAAAAGAAATCCAAAAGCACAAGGAATAAACCTACAACATAAGAATTTATCATAGTGAAATCCCCCGTGTTATTACTGTAGGACGCCAGTGGACAGGAATTCACCGTGGTTTTATTGGTCTCTGAAGGAATGGTCGCTGTGACAAGTGAAGGTTCTGACGATCACTGTATATTTACACTGACTATTCTACTGGCTTCAGTGTTGATTTATACCTCTGTAGGAGTGCCGACCAGGACTGACCTAGATGGACTGCAGTATCTTTTAGTGTTATTAACAAAATATTTAATTTAGTAAAATAAACCTGCGTTCAGCGGACACCTCCAGACCTGTTAAGCTGACGGCGGCACCAATATCATGATCAAGCCATTTTATTGCATAAAACCTGCAATAAGCGGACACTTCAAGGGCTTTCTATACTTCTAAAATGAAAGCTCGTGCAGCTTAGACTTCTTTAACATTGTTCAGCGATACGTTTCAAAGCTAAGTAGCTTATTCCAGATTGATGCATTGACTGATTGAACATCGTGCTATGAGCAGCCTTTGATCTTACACCGTGTTACACTCAGTTACAAAAGGGTTAATAATTAAATATTATTGCCCAATATGTTAGAACCTGCTTAGAGCGGACACCCTGTGTTAAGCGGACACTAGTGAGGGTCCCAAGTGTGTCCGCTTAATACAGGTTTCACTGTAGTGTTATATTTTTATCTTCTGAACAGGACTCCCCGAACTGGTCACCAGTTACGTTATTCAACTAAACAATCCTGAGACACAGTTGTAAATGTCAAGAACGCCCGGGATGTTTTTGTCTTTTCAAAATGTAGCGGACGAAAGCAGCCGCTGTAGAAGCTTCTGATTAAACAATAGAGTTACAGCTTGATGGCAAAATCCCATGAATTCGCCAACCTCATCTGAATTCGCTTGATGTCACACTGAAGCTGTTTAAGGAGGAGAGGAGACGTTTGGCATATCTGTAGCAAATGCACAACATTATCTTAAAATAAAGGTGATCGAATAAAAACTTAAATAAAAAAAAAATACTCATCTTCATAGAAGGTGAATTATCATTTTAGCCGCTACGGTGCCTGGAATGATTATACTTAATAAAGCTATCTGTTTATCTAAATGAGTGGAATTCTAGGTTTATACGTTTCAAAAGGAACTGCAGGAAGCAAACCTTGAATTTCAGTTAAGATCCAATACAGCAAAAACAATTCACTTTCTATGGAGATGGGTATTTTGTTTTCATTTGTTTAATGGTTTGTTTGTTAACTTATTTTTTTCTTAACCCATATTTTTCTAGACACTTTTTGAGCCTTATAAGCCCTCGACACACAAAAAAGCACTGAACACTTCGTTCTTACATTTCTGGCGAGAGTGTATAATACCATGCCCTTTTGGCATTTGGAGTTGATTTATTTTTAAATCAATGGGAAACTGAAGCGTTGAACACCATATCAGGAAGTTCTAGGAGGTGCGAATATATCATGTGATTATTTATCGGTGGTGAATATAGTAGATAATACAAAATTTAATATAGTCGTTATATGAGTTTTATCCACCAGGATTACATGGAAAGCAGCTTAAATCAGTGGAAGCAACAGAACTGCAGCGTGACACGGGAATGCTGTATTGCTAATTGGATTGAAAAAGCAACACCGCGACCAAGCACTGACTCGATTGAGAGGACCAGATGGGTGTAAGGTTTCGTCTTTGGAAGTTAAAGAATACTGCTACTCTGCCATTTAGAATGATTTCAAGGCTGGAGCAAAGGTGCTGGGGATATTTGTTCTGAGATGTTTTTTGAGTTTCACGGGGTAAGGAAAAGAGCGAATCTTGCTCAAGTACATCTTTACAATTAACTATATTGAAACATTTTATGAAATATATAGGTGCACGAGGCTATTTGACTGCGAGAATTATGTACTTGGTAAAAGCTTAATTTTCATTTTTGGAAAAAGTTCTTTATAAACGAATGGCGCTAAATAGTTAGAACAATAATATGTACTTATTGATTGTGGGAGGGCCGGACGGGAAATATTTGTCTCGACGTACTGACCGAGCGTAGCGAGGTCCGTACGTCCGGCCCGAACTAACTCAGTCAATAAGCATTTTATTATATGACCACTCAGTCTTGAAAATTTTGAAAATTCAGTTTGAACCTTAATAGGACATGGTTACATAACATCAGATGGCCGCGCGCGGAACTAAAATAAAAGATTATACAATAAAAACTTGTCATTTTTTTTTCTTTTTTGAGTTTAATCATTCTTTCTCTCAGCCCCATTATGTACAATCTAGTGATAATCTACTTAACATTCATCTACTTACAATAAACTATACAGTGAACAATCTATAATTACTAGCTTTAAATTCTACCATTAATGGCCGCTATTCCTTTCTACAATACAAAGAGCACTCATGTAACATTATATTTACATTAATTTCTTATACTTAAATAATCACTGATCTGAATACAAGAAGAAAACATTGCTTTGTATAACCTGACGTTACTTTACAGCCAATGATTGGAAATTACTTTAATTATAATGAAAATTAATTGTGAAACTAACAAGAAAGTAGAGGGGACATCTTTTGTTTCTCATGTTATTTATGCTTCCGTGATATGTTCGATTCCGTGTTTAAGTGAGATTTTGTTTACAAAAATCAGCAAGTAAGATTGAACTAGTACGCAATTTGTTAGTGTAGATGTAGTATTTCATTAAAAGTAGCGTGTAGTTAACTTTTTTCGTTAACTTTCTTCCAAATGGTTCAGAAGTAATACCGAACAGTTTCTCTTCTATGGACGGATTGAAGTGAGTTCTGTTTGTCACATTGAACCAACTGATGACCTCTTGTGAAAAGTTTTTTTACAAAAACACAGTGGCTAAAAGTATGGTCAATGGAGTCCTTTTCGCCACAATATATACAGTCATCATTTGATTGGATATCCTAACAAAAAAGTTCTCTCTTTGTAACCACAATTCGGTGCATAAATTTAAATTGAAATTCTTTGAGTTTGGGTTCTTTGCGTAGAGTTTTGACGGAGGCAAAACGTTTTTTCCACATGCCTTCTTTTGTTAGAAAGTAGTTGTTCCATTTTTGGGGACCCTTATGTTCTGTTGTGTGTGTCTCGGTGTTAAATAATTTGTAAAAATCACTAGTTCGAATTTTAATCAGGTCTATATATTGGTGTAGATTCAGCAAGCTGAAAATTAAAGGTATTATCAAGGAAAAGTTCTTTTTTAATTGGAGCCTCATTCTTGCTATAGTTAACAGGTGTTTCGGGATGGCACTAATGACCTGAGAATATTGAAGATATTTCTTATTTCTTCACGTCTAACAAGCAACGGTTTCGAATAACTTCACTAAACGGCGTCAGACTGGCTTTAAAATCGGCACAAGAGACAAGTACGTGACACACTTGAGGTAGGAAAACTTTATTCAAATTAGATAGTTATTTACACATTTTTTTTTTTACGATCGGTGATTTTCCCATACAATTCTCTATATACACAAGATGTCGCACACACCACGTATTTTGAGCTTGGGAAGCCTGTTGCCGTACGCGGTTTTCCGGTCCTGTCACTTTGACGCATACGGCCCTCATACGAGACTTTTTCTCTTATGGTTTTCCGAGGAAATTGCGCGCGGGGCTGTACATATCATATGATAAGTAATGGTAAAAGCAGTGAGTTCACATGGCCACAACACTAGACATGGCTACTTACCTAGATTGCCTAAACCTAAAACGGAATGCGGAAAGAGAGTGTCCTACTTCCGTTTTACAAATGACTGGATGTCCCTCCCAGTATCTTTAAGAAAGCCAATGCCATGCACAATTTTTAAGAAAAACCTTACAAGGTTCTTAATGGATAAACATTTTTAGAACATATTTTTGGATGTACGACATATTGTTAATAGATAATTATTTGTAATTAGTTTTTTAGGACAGTAGGTAGTTTTGGTAGTTTTGGTAGTTTTAATTATTGTATATTTTTATTTTAGATCTGTGATATTTGTATTTCTTATTTTAGATTTTCACACTTTTTATTTTTATGGAGGACCTCCCTGAAAACCACGTATTACGTGACGGGCGCTTCCTCTTTAAAAATTGTTTTTATTATTATTATTATTATTATTATTATTATTATTATTATTTGCGTAGGTAATCACGTGATTTCAAGTGCACATTGGAATAAATAAGAACGAGTAAAATTTTCACAGACAAACAAAATTTGTACTATGTAGGCTTTGAAAAATTTACAAGTGCTTATTTATTCCAAATTGTGCCAAAAAAATCATGTGATTACTTGCTAGTAATACACTTGAAAAAATCGACTTTTTCAACGGTGGCGTCACCCTTGTTCTTCCAAATATCTTCGAAAATTTCCGAAAGTGTTCGCAAACCATCTGATGATTTTGGAAAATTTCGGAAGTAATCAGGTGACCTTGGCGACAATGTTCGGGTTATCTTCGGGTATCTTTAGAAATCGTCGAGAGTTTTCAACTAATCTTCGTCAATCTTTTGAATTGTTGGAATTTTTTGAAACCTTCGGTTGATCTTCGAAAATTTTGTGAAGGCTTGTAATGATCTTCGTTTTTCTTCGGAAGATTTTGGTGACCTTCGGCCATTTCCAAAATACGTTGGATGGCCGTCTGTAGTCTTCTGGTGTCTTCGTTTTAACTTCAGAAATCTTCGATATTTATCTGCACTATTCTTTCATTTTATTTCCCTTTTGTTGCAGTACGTTTCCTAAAAACAGCATTTCTCTAAGCCAATCAGAACGCAGTAATTTTTCAAGCATGGTATTAGTGTAGGTAATCGTATAAATACGCGAAAAGTTAGAAATTAACTTTCATTGTTTAAAAACGTTAAAAATTAATTTATGTTAGAAATTATTTAAGAATTGTAGCCTAATATAGCTTTCCAGGCACAAGTCAAGACGCCAAAAACGTCTTGAATTGAGATCTTGATATTTTTTACGTCTAACGGCTAAATTCTTGGCCCGTTTTATGGCCAAAGGTCGGCCCACACGAGGGGACTAGTTCCTATGACTAGTCCATGCAACAAGTCCCCTGAGGAGTTTACACGAAGGGACTGGTCGCAGGGACTTGTCCCACGAGCAGTTCACAAGAAGCGTTTTGAGGAACAAGTCGCAGGGACCTGTCCCAAAAATTCAAACCAGTTTGAATTCGTGGGGCTAGTCGAAGGGACCAAAGTTCAATCCCTGCGACTAGATTTTGTGGCAAAAATGGCCAGTTCACACGATGGGACTTGTCCCCGCGACTTGATGCAGGGACTAGTTCCCTGAAGAGTTTACATGAGGGGACTGGTCGCAGGGATTTGTCCCACGAACAGTTCAAACGAAGCGTTTTGACGAACAAGTCCCAGGGACTTGTCCCAAAAATTCAAACCAGTTTGAATTCGTGGGACTAGTCTCAGGGACCAAATTTTAATCCATGAGACTAGATTTTGTGGCAAAAATGGTTAGTTCACACGATGGGACTTGTCTCCGCGACCTGTTGCAGGGACTAGTTGCAGGGACTCGTGCCTTCGTGTGCGCCGACCTTAACGGTTAACCCCATTGAGACACTCTAATTAAACTGATGCGGTGAGGACATCGTTGATATACTAGTGTAAGAATGACAACTACCTGCATACCGGTATTTCCTTTTTACTTTGGAATGTTTACAATAAAAGGCAAAACCGCAAACATGCACGCGTTAAGGACAACACATTAATAAAAGAAAATAAAGCCGAAAACAAAGCCCGACGACAAATTACACTTCGTATTTGCAATAGAGAGAAACTGTAAGTATTTTAACCAAAAAGCTACATTTTGCTTCTTCTTAGTTACTGGTCGTCAAGTTGGCGGAAGAGCCTGAAAAGAGCAAATTTTCAATGAGATCATTGTAATTTCATTTTTCTATTTTTTAGCAACCACGGTTAATTGTTTTTTTTTTTTCGTAGGAGGCAAGAGCTCGCCTGGAAGAGCAACGTGCTACAAGAGAAAATGAGGTCAGTTGTTCTTATTGCCAGAAAAAACTGAGTAATCAAGTCACACAATAACAACAACAACAATAATAATAATAACAATCATATATTTAAACATGATTTTGTTTACAGCAACGGGTTTGCTTGTGGGGTCGTGTGTCTAGCTAAAGGTTTAGAGAACATACTATGTACAGTAATAATAATAATAATTAAACAGTGTAAAATTGGTTTACCTAACGATAAACTCCCAGTAAGAGGATCCACGGGATACGATGTCTCGACGTGAATTTGTAAATATAAGTGTAAAGACGCGACGAAGAGACCAACCCTTGACTGTTCTGAACGAGTTTAATCAACGACGTTTCGACCGTTCGGCCTTCCTCAGGTTAGAAGCTATAATAATTATATTTAATAATAATAATTATATTTAATAATAATAATTATATTTAATAATAATAATTATATATGTAATCATTCACATTGATGAAACTTAAGATCCAGTACGTTCCTGCTTCTTGCTTTTATGTAATGTGTTTAACTTGCCGCCCCTCCCCCACTACTTTCGTCGGGGGCATAGGTCCATATGGAAGCCTCTCAATCCCTCTCTGTCTTGTCACTGTCTCTCCAAACGGTTGCCAGTTGAAGCCTGCCTCTCTCATCACTCCATCCATTGACTGCCGCCAGCCGCTGTTCCTTCAGTGGCCTCCCTCTCTTCCGCTCTCCCGTGTGGGTTCCATCTCAAGGCCGAATGTTGTGTTATAAGTGTTCGTTTATTCTCACGGTCCTAACCACAGAAATACTTACATAAACTTTATTTAAACACGATAGAAACATCAGTTACAAGATTGAGATAAAAAAAAAAAAGATTTACATGTTTGCCGTGTGGAAGTACGAGGAGAACACTAGGCGATTGATCTCATTTTTAATGGTTTTTCTCAGGAAATGGCTCCTCTTAGGTACCAGAGACAAAAACCTCGATTAAATATAGTAATATTACGACATTTACATTTTAACTAGCGCTTTACAGGAAGTAATAAAACGTACAACTCATTGGATCCTCTAACAAATAGACAGACCTGATTGAAACATGGCGCCAAAGTGAAATAGATATTAAATCAAGATTACACATTGAACGTGGGACTGAGATGTTCAGAATAATATATTTTAAAGTGGGTTTTACTTTTATATTGGATTTAAACTGTTTTGTTTTTCTTCAGATGATATTGTTGAGGACGAAGAACGAGGAAGAGAGGAACCTTCTCGAGAAACGACTTGAGGCCGATATAGAGGCCCCAAAAATGCAAATGACGAACATGATGAAAGCAAACATACAAGCAGCTAGAAAGGAGAACGAAGCTGATGTAGACCAAAAAAAAACTTTGAAGAATTGCACTGCAGAAATTCAAAGTTCTTTAGACAAATTAAGCAGGGTAATAGAATGTCTGACGAAAGGCATATAAAGCATAATTATCATTTGTAAGAACAATTGAGCTGCCAATTGAACTTCTCAAGCTGTCACCGAAACATAGAATGGAACGCTCTCCTAAAATAGTTCAATGCCCACTGGAATGAGGTGAAATCATAACAATGGAAATCGTGACAGCGCAAACATTAATTATCAACTGTGCTGATTAATATCGTGGCCCAAAATACAATTATAACTAGTTATTTAAGATATTCTAACATGATTATCAAAATAATCACAAAACGTCGACACTTAAAACTAACACATTGTGAATAGTTAATGGGTAAAAGTAAGAAGCACTCAGTTTCAAGATCAGACGTCAAGTGATAATAAATCTAACATAGATGTCTTTCTACGTTGGATGTTGCTGCGTCCATTGTAAAAGGAGTTCAGTGCTAAGTCTTTTTTTTCCTGTATAGGGGAAATGTCACATATTACCTAGGACCAAGTTCATTTTCCAATAACTTTTAAATTACTGATCAGTCTCTTTTTGCAAAGCGGATAGTTTAACAACAACAGCAGCAACAACAACAACAACAACAACAACAACAACAACATCATCATCATCAACAACGACAACAACAACAACAACAACTGCTAAATGACTTTAATTTTGCCTGATGGTCGATCTGTATAATTTGCGCTGTAGGCGTCGATGATTTTAGCGCTACATTAACCGATTAGCGAGATTGCTAAGCCACTTGTAACATTATCCTGGGCATAAGTAACCAACGAATTCTTTTAAGCTTAAGTGTGTCGCGTCCCTTGCAGTTGTGTGAAGGACTATGGATGACGCCTGTACTATGATAAATTAAGTACCAAATCGTATGCACTACAGCTCAAATCATTTACGTGGATACTGTAACCTTGAACAGCCTCCGAGTTATGAAAAATTCAGTGGACCTGAGGTATATATCGATTTGATTAAGTGTTTCGCTGTTGTGTGAGAAAAAGTTATCGAGCTGCAAAGTTTCAACCTCCGTTTCCTAGTGTTCCGCATGAATTTTACACACCAAAAATTTGGCATCGTTTGTAAAATTATAAATCTCCCCCGCTATTTGGAGTGCCTACACTACTTCTCACGCTCTTGTTCAGAAGCAACACAAGAAAATAATATTATTTTATACCATTTAGTGATAAATGTATGTTCTTGTAGATTTTGAACTGTTCATGGAAGCCTAAGGATGGGGGGGGGGGGGG